GTATGATCCTGGGAGCAATGTCTGCTGCCCCCTTCCACACTGCCAGCACCCCCCACCCAGAAAACCAACAGGGGTGGTGTCTGTCTGGGCCATTGTGTCCTGAGAGCCTGACACATGAGGTATTGAGACTCACTGGCTGAAGGCGTATGCAAAGAGAGTGGGCATTTCTGGGCAAGGAGACCCAAGATTAGCTTATACCATTAAAGGTTTAGTTTTTAAAATGTGCTGAAATGCCTTAAGGAGGATCGTTGGCAGTGAAGCCCGGTATTACAATTCACTCTTAATTCAACTGATTACAATTAATGCCACCAAGCCATCAGTCTATCAGCTGCTAAGTGATGTTTTATGTCACAAAAACCTGCAATAAGTCCTGCCATGGAATCACTTTTGGCTCCTTATCCTCCAACACTGAAATGCCACAGGAGAGGCAGGGACAGAGTGGGCCGCTGGGTGACACCAATAAACCCAGCAGAGGCAGCCGGCAGCAACCAGCAACATCCCACAGCTGTTCTCAGAGCCTTATTACGCGTCGGATGGCTTGCCCTTGTACCTTTTGCGTGGTCTTTATCCAGCTGGTTGGCCACTTTCTTCCATTCCTCCATCTGTTCTTGAAGTGGGTTTATCAGACAATCGATTAAAGCACTTTTACCAAAAGAGAAGGAAAAGGAGAAATTAAACAGATACCTTCTGTTGTCAAGATTTACACTTGGTTGTCAAAACATATCTACATTACGACTACCTGAAGCAAGACAAGGCAGCATCCTAAACCCAAGTTCACATCCAAATCCCCTGATTTTGTAACAATCTTGTTTTCAGGACGCTTTTCAACGGCAGTTAAGAAACTGGAAAGTGACTGGCTGAAGTGACCCCTCTTCTCATTCTCCTATTTATATTCCAACGCTTGTATTAACAAGCAGGGCTGCAGACAAGTAGGGTCACCCTCCGGCTGCATAACAGAAGTACCTTTAAAAAGGTCAAGACACCTGGGCCTCACCCCACAGCTCACAGAGACTTTGAGGGTGGGGTCCCCATGTTACTATTTTTTTAGAAGACCCACAGGATTCTGACGGGCATTCGGGATTATAAGTCACGAGTGGAGGCTAATCGTGGGCAGCCTGGACAACGAGAAGCTGGGTTGCCAGCTCCTGGATGGGAGGGGTGAAGGCATCTCCAGGTACCTCCCTTCATTCTGTGCAGTCTCCCACACAGATGACATTTAGACACGTGGAAAGGTGGCTCCCCACACAGACCAATCATGTAAGTCACGAAATCCGAGGTTTTTTTNTCTCAGCCTTCAGGGCCAAGGGTCCGGAGAAACCTCACAACTAAATGCCAGTTATTCTCCAGTCTCAGGACCAGCTGCATCTCTTCACGTTACACAGTCTAGCACCCTACGCGTCCTAAACCTTTCTATCTGGCGCCGTGATGGGAAGCTCATTATCCCCTCCGGGCAGCCTGAGCCAGTGCTGGGCAAGTCTAATTGCCAGAAACTTCCTTTTGTGTTGTACTGCAATCAACCTATCAGGCTTTTCCTGTAGGTCCTAATTCTGCTAATTGGACAATGCAGGTGACTTTAAGTGATAGACGGGACCATTTCGGCTTCTGTGCAAAATTCAGATAAAAGGATTATCGCTGCAGCCAAGAACTTAAGGTCTCTGAAAAGAGAAGTCTGGAAGAGCGAAGGGAAAATAGCTACTTTTTCTTACCTCATCCTTTTCACCAAACTTCCAAACATTTTCCAAGCCATAAATGTCTTCACTGGGCCCTCCCTCTAAACCCATAATCTCTGCTGTCCCAAAGCTGCCAAGTTGTCAATTAGGTAGAACTCAGCTCCAAATTTTTACCAGCCTGTGTTCTTCCATGGGACCTCACATTCGATGGAATATGGTAGCAGTTTTATTTACATTTACCACTAGACTCACTAAAATGTCACTGGTCACAAACCTTACTACTTGTCAAACTTTTGCCCCGGGTGCCCTAGTTAGATAGAAAGTAATTTTGAAGCACCAAGACCAGAAAAACACATCCAAAATAAAGAACTGGGGCCAATACTAACAGAAAATCAGATCGTGGATAAAAATTCTGCTGTCTTCATCTTGAAATGATCTTATGGTTTTTGTAAGCACTGGGGGGGTACATTTTCCAGACATGCCAATGCTTGAAAACTTTGTCCTATCCTCCGAAACACTCCTTCTCTCCAAGTGTTTATCCTTTTAATTTTAAATAAAAACAACTTGTTTAAGAAAGAGGAAATTTGGTTTTGGGGATTTCTACCTAAAATGATTAATGTCCCAAATAAACACTAAACTTTACCCACAGAACAGACCGATGGAAAAAACTCCATTTTATCGGTTGTGATGCAGCAAACGAAAAAACTTGGTATCAAGAACAGTCTGGAAGGAATGTCACCTTCTCAAGTTCAAGAAAGAGTCCCTATGGGCCAGCCAAGTGGCGCAATGGTTAAGAGCTGGCTTGGGACGCCAGAGGGCCCCGGTTCGGATCCCACATGTGAGGGCCAGTGACACTGCCCTCCACAGCTAAGATGCTGAACAACA